TTTTCAAAAAAAAAAAAAAAAAAAACATATTTCGATTCGCATTTAATTTTTTCGTCTCGGATGCTACCTGAATTTTATCAAAAATAAAATAATTTCCATGCCTGAAGATGACTGAATGTACAGTCGAAAGTACTTGCGTATTAAAGTACCTTATACAGTTTATAATTTTTAAAAACAGGGATCATAACATTTATCGAGTGATATATAGGTTAATGCACCTTTAAAATTTTGCTCGCGAAAGGATTTCGCCATTTTATATCATTAACTTTACTAATCTACTTTTTGTATGAATGATTCATTGTAATATATATGTATATATATATATATATATATATATATATGTGTGTGTGTGTGTATATATATATATATATATATATATATATATATATATATATATATATATATATGAGTATAAAAATGGACATTAAAGTCAACACCCAGCGACGACAGTCTGTTCAATGGATGGCCTGACGAGTCGAGTCAAGATACATAAGTATAAGTCTGTGTGTGCGTCTGTGGGTAATATTATTATCATTTTACGCACATCCTCACATACAGGCACATTGCTGCACACGCACAAACGCACACACGGACACAAAAAATACGGAAAAAAAAACTTATATCAATAATAAGTGCATAAAAAACAAAAAAGCGAAAAATATAAGCAGTAAACTGCTGAAAAACTCTGAAGAGTGGACGGACAACTGTAGTCGAGATGCTGAAGGTAACATCAATCATCTAAGTGACAAACTTTTACATTAATCCTATATATATATATATATATATATAAATATATATATATATATGCATGTTTCATTAAAAACGACAGACAAGGTACTATGATTAAGCCTTTTATTTAATTTTTCGTGTATTCGAACAAGTGTTTTCTTTTCTAGACACAGAGTGCGTAGAGACTGTCCAAATGTTCTGTAATTCCGAGCGCTTTCGGCTATACTTTTAGCCATTATCAAGGAAGATTTTATTTTTTCAGTTTAATTGAGTGTGTGCGTTGTGTGTATGTTTTTGTCTTATAGAGATGTTTTATTTTCCGCACACAGCACACCATGGCCGTGTTCGTAGTAAATATTGTTAAGTGTTGGCATTTTCTTTTTTATTATTAGGTCATTTAAATCATTTTTACAGGTGGATGAGGCTATTAGGTTAGTGTTTCTACTAGTATGTTTTGGATGGAGTCTGGTAACTTTGTGTATTTGTTTACATGGGTTCTAATAGAGCTATGGTCAGATAGGTGTAACGTAAAGCGTCTAGATAGGCATGTAGTTGTGTGACCGATGTAATTATTTATGAATTCGGTTTGATCAGGATCACAGTTCCTTAAGGGGCATTTGAACTCATAGATAATGTTCGTTCGTTGGAATTTTGACTTTGCTGGTGTGTTGTTACTTTTGAGGATAAGGTTAGCTGTTTTAAATTTTTTATAATAGATAATTAATTTGATTTTTCATTATTTTTTTATTATTCTAACTTTTGTTGTCTGTCGTTTTTAATGATACATGCATAAATAAAGGATTGCTGCCTAAATACACAATATATATCTATATATATCTTACTTATTATAAAACGCAGGTTGTGTGTGTGTGTGTCTGTAACGTTTATATGTTGGATCGAATTTCCTACATTTTTTAGCCGATTTCAACAAAACTTCACAGGACTACATAAAATTACCTTGTGGTGGTTCTAACGGCTACCGAAAATGGGAAAAATACAGTTGTTTTTTTAATAAAATCAATTTGAAAACACGATTAAGACACACCGTGAGAATGAAAGGGGGACAACTCACCCACGAAAATGTAAACAAAAGAGCATAGCATGATGAAAAAGACGCCGAACTTGACGAAAACAAAATTTTATCGTCTAATGTTCATATTATTATTAAAGAGGAAAGATCAAAGTATTTTGGGGTATTTTTACATTTTTTAATCGTTCCTAGCATGTCTGAAATTTTCGTTAAAATATTGTTTTTTGGTCAAAAAAAAGGGCAGATAATCATTTTCAATCATTTTTTCGATTTGATAAAAAGATTAAAATCTTACTTTGATATTCTTTTAAAAGTCAATTATCATTTTTTTCAAAACTGATTTTAATAAAAACAGATATTATACTGTTTATTTAAAATATTTTGAACCAAGCTTAACTTAGCTTCTGCCGAAAAAAAATGTAATTTGAAAATAAAACAAAGCAGGTCATAACCTTTCGCGTCGCTTGACGATTGACGAAAGGCACATTCATGACGTTTAGATAACTTACGGGAGGAGAATTCTTTTTACGGATGGAAGGAAGTGAAATTATTTAAGTGAACAAATTATTTACCTTGTTACTTTTAAGGAAAACTTTCAGCGCTCTAATTTTTTATTTTTATTTTTTATTTTTTTTTTTTTTTTTTTATTTTTTTTTTTTTTTTTTTTTGTACTTAGCTTTCATTTTTACGTTTACGATGCTTTATGGAAAATATAAAGAAATTAAAAATAAGACTGTTAATAGTGAGATTAAATTTCATAAGAAAAAGGTATCTAATTAATTTAGGTACCTTTCTTATGAAATTTTATAAGAAGTGTACATAAAATACTATAATTTTATGTACATTTATTACATTTTACTGTGTTATTTGTATTTCCATTCATTTTATTATTAATTTTGATATTTCATTTATGGAAAAATGTCATAACTGAGATTAATATAAAAATAAGATCATATAAATTAAAGTTTAGCAGTAGTTAAATTTCATGAGATGATACTGTTACTTGTAGGTACCCTTCTCAGTTGAAATTGAAAACTCAAATTAACTTCTCCATACGTGTTTCGCAAAAGTAAATGGCTTAACAGCGGAGAACAATGCTGAACTCAAATAATGCAACTAAATTGTATTCTGGTTGGTCTTCCGTACTTGATAATTACTGTCCGACTATAAACACAAAAATTACATTTCTTAATTACCATGGCTAATCTGATTGGTCCAAATTATACAATTTTCAAAGCGCTAGACAATGACAATCTCACACGGACATTTTGAAAGGTTGATGTTGCTTTTAACTAATGTTAAAATATTTTTTTAAAATTCAATTTAAACATTTTTAAAAATCTTTTAAAATTAAAGAAATAAGAAATAATTGTATTAAAAAATTCAATTTTCATTGAAAATTTTTTTTTTGCTTTCAGAAAATATTGTCCATATTCATAAAAACAAATTAAAACAAATAAAAGCATTTGAAACTAAATAATATATTTGTTTTATTGAGTTTTGTATGTTACAATTCACAGCTGATTTTCAGGTACGTTAAAAAAAAAAAAAAAACATGATTTGCATTCTTCAAAGGCTTGTGCTTTTAACTATTGTAATCACTAAAACCGATGGTCTCGAATTTCTAGAGTTTTTCATAAAATTAGTTATTAGTTATTAGATTTTTATAAATATAAAAAAATATTTCTGCCATGACTTTAATAAAAAAAAATATTTATAATAATTTCCATCATCTGTGAATAGTTTCTGAAAGTTTCATTAACATCTGACAATTATTTTTATTTTTGCAAGATTTTCCAAATTAATGTGTGTAAATACAAAAAAATGCGCTAAAAATTATCTGTTATTTACTACCCATTGTTGCGACAAAGAGAAACAAGGTTTTTTAAATCAAAATTTAGAATATTCTAAACAGATGGAAAAATTTTTAAAAAATAATTAAAAAAAATTTAGTCTATCCTCTTCATAAAAAAATAAGCATTTTGACGATAAAATTTTGTTTTCATAAACTTTGGCGTCTTTTTCATCAGACTATGCTTTATGTTTTAGCGACTTAGGTTAAAAGACCCAGGTTGTTTATGTGTGTGTGTGTGTGTGTTCCTTTATATATGGGATCGGATTTCTTACATTTTTTCAGCCGATAAAACAAACATCTACATTTTTTTTTTTTTTCGGCAGGTAGTATTTCTTATTGTCTTGCACACTTTTTTTCTTTATTTACATTCAGAATGCTTTAAAAAATTCCATTTACAAGACAATTGTTTATAATAAAATTCTATTCACCAATCGATAGACTCATAACGATTGTAAACAATGTTTCTGTTTGAATTTGGGTTTGACCAATTCGTAAAAAAAAAACAAAAAAAACAAACAAACTAATTAAGACATGCGTGTCCGTCAACCTTAAACAATAATCTTTGTCAATTTAATTTTCAGTCTTTATGATGGTCGATACTTGATCTATCTCTTACTGTTACATCCCCGGGCAACGCCGGGCTCTATATACTATATATATATATATATATATATATATATATATTTTTTATATACATAGCGGTAAACACATCCGGGTAGACGCTCACTTTATTTATTAAAAAGTATAATTATTTTTTTGTCTACCGGCATGAATATTCGAGAAATTTTATTTATTATATATATATATATATATATATATATATATATATATATAGAGAGAGAGAGAGAGAGAGAGAGATAGATAGATAAAGAGACTGACATAGATAGAGATGAACAGTCTGTGATATATATATATATATATATATATATATATATATATATATATATATATATATATATATATATATATATATATATATATATATATATATATATATGTGTGTGTATTTTGACAGCAAGCCTTCTTTTATACATGTTTCGTTAAAGAGGATTGACAAGATACTGCGATTAAACATTTTCTGGACACAAAGTGTGTAAAAACTGTCCAAAACTTCTGCATAACCAATCGCTTTTTTTATTTTTATTTTGACGAGTTTTATTTTTTTTTTTTTTTTTAACTGAATATGTGTTTTTTTTTTTGAACGTGTCTGAAGTTACAGTCATGTTTTATTTTCCGATCGTACGAGAACCGGTGTTTCCAGGTGATATAGCCATACGATATATCCCCTGAACATCCAAGCATCCAGCAGTTAGTATTCCCAATCGTACGGGAAATAGTATTTTAAGGTGATATAAAATTAAAATATATATCTCCTGCACATACAAGCATGCAGCACTTGGCATTCTCAATCGGACACCCATCTGAGTACAGACCAGGCTCGACATTGCTTAGCCTCGATGATTGTACGAGAACCGGTGTTTCCAGGTGATATAGCCATACGACATATCCCCTGAAAATCCAAGCATCCAGCACTTGGTATTCCCAATCGGTCACCCATCTAGGGAGTGACCAGACTCGACGTTGCTTAGCTTTGATGATAGTACGGGGTGTAGTCATAAGACATATCTCCTTCACAACCAACCATGCAGCGCTTGGTATTCCCAAACAGTCACCCATCTAGGTACTGACCAGGCTCGACGTTGCTTAACTTCGATGATTGTATGAGAACCGGTGTTTCAAATGAGATGACCGCCAACCATGCGGCGCACACATCCAACCTGGTATTCCCTAAGGGTTACCCATCTAGGTACTGACCAGGCTCAACGTTGCTTAACTTCAGTGAACATACGGAAATCAGTGTTTCCACGCTATATAGTAAGCACTAAAGTTTTTTTTTTGTTAACTGTATTGTATTCAGAAACTACTAACAAAAGAGGGTGTTCTGGTACCAATGGTTTTATTGAACGCTCACCTGTAGTTGACTCACGAATTTGTTTTGTCAAACAGGAAAAAAGTCATACTTATCACAAAAATGTTAAGACGCAGTTTAAGTTTCGTGAATTTGTCTTCCTCCGACAACGCACGTGAGGTGACGTAATGGCTTTCAGCGCCAAAATGGCAATAGGCGAACTGCGGTTTTAGCATGAGTCCAAATGTCCTTGTCCTCTGTCCCATTGTTACTGATACTACAAGCATGCTATATTGGCACAGAGTTCGCAATCAAGTCACGAATTCTTCTTTGCCACAAGCAATATGTACCCTACACTGCAGTTGGTTCCTCTTGAACAGAACATGGCGACTACCCAGTGACGTTACTTGCTCGCGGAAATGAAGAGAAGTAAAAGATCAACGGACAAAGAAAGAAAAGAGAAAGAGACAAAGAAAGAAGAAAGCAAAATAAAAAGAAGGAATGAACGAAGCAATCTAGGAAGGAAAAAGAATGAGAAATAGAGAAAGAAAAGGAATAAAAAGAAGGAAATAACAAAAGAAAGAGAAAATCAGATAAAAAGGGAGCAGATAAGAATGAAACAAGGTAGAAAGAAAAACACAAGAGAAAATAAAGAACAAGTAAAGGAAAAGAAAAGAATGCAAGAAAGAAAAAAAGTAAAGAAAGTAAAAAAGAAGGAAAAAAGATGGAAGGAAAACTGAAAGAAAGACAAAGGTGTGGGGGGAAGAAACAAAGAAAGGGACGGAAAGGAAAATAGAGATTAAAAAAGAAAGAAAGAATAATGGAAGAAGGAAATAAAAAAATTAAAAGAAAGAGAAGTAGGAGGAAGGGTGAAAAGAAAAAAAAACGGACGAAAAATAAAAAAAAAAAAAAGAAAAGAAAGAAAAAGGGTAGAAAAGAAAGAAGGAAAAAGAAAAAAAAATGAAAATGAGAAACAAAAACATCGAAAAGAAAAAAAACACTAAGAAAAAAAAGATAGAGTAAATAAAATGATAATGAATAAAAGAAACACTTAAAAAAAGTCCATTCAACGAAAGATTTCCTCCACAAAAAATACAGGGGAGTGCAGCCGGTTCTTACAACAATAGAGAAATCAACTAATTTTACTCTTTTATTTATCGTCTGTTTATAACCAATAAAAGACTCAGAACTTTCATTTTCGCGCATACTTTTCCGGTTTTATTGAATCGTTGTGCGTATAAAACTGGACGATTTCCTTATTTTTCTATCATTTGCAGTTCTGGTTAGAATGTCGTCTGCATTTTGTCTAATTTCGTTACTATTCATCGCAAAGGCTGGACTTATTTGGGCTCATGGACGTCTGATTGACCCAGTGAGTCGGTCGACCATGTGGAGAGTAGGTTACGCTGCACCCATCAACTATAACGACAATGGAATCAACTGTGGTGGTTTTAAAGTAAGTTTTAACTTTATTTTTTTTATTATTTATGTGATGATATTGTCCGGTTTACGATAGCGCCCAATAGCTTCCTAACTCTTTGAGCCCTGACCACCGCTTTACCGGTGGTAGAGAAAAATGACGTAATGCCCAGCCACCGGGCGGTTGAACAGTGGTAGAGTAGAATGACTTAATGCCCAGCTACCGGTTGAACTGTGGGTAAAGACTTGTAACTATTTTTAAATCTACCGTGAAACATGACATACTAATTATTTGCGAATTTTGACACAGGAGCTCAGACTGAAGGGTTAAAATTGTTCAGAAACGCAGGGATCAAAGGGTTAATAATACTTGATGTCAAGCTTTAAGGCTATATTTATCCAATTGTGTTTTAACTTCACCGTTGTTTGGGTTTTCCTCGATTTCCTTTTCCAGGCACCATACAATCAAGACAAAATATAGCGACTCCGGCACTAAATCTTCAAATAGTTTCAAAGACTTGCCATGAATGATATTAAAGAGCGGGAAAGAAAATTGTTTACATCCTTAACAGGGCTTCTTTTCACTTTATCTACCAGTTTATGATTTCTGATGATGTCCATCGTATTGGAATATTTCGATTTTGAGCCAAAAGTTCTTGAGCCCATTTCACAAAATCTAAACCAATTTAAACAACTGAAGAATGCATATATCACCGTTTTTATTGTGGATTGGTACTCATGTTGGTTTAAGCATATTTTATGTATATAAGCCCATGTCACACAACCTAAACTATTTAAAACAACTGTAAGAATGTATACAAATTATAGCTTCGTTTTAATGTGGATTGGTACTCTTGTTGATTTTAGCATACCTTATGTTTTTAAGTCCATGTCATACAATCTAAACTATTTAAAACAACCGGAAGAATGTAAATAAGATATATCTTCGTTTTCGTGTGGATTAATACTCTTGTTGATTTTAGCGTACCTTATGTTTTTAAGTCCATGTCCTACAATCTAAATCATTTAAAACAACTGTAAGAATGTATATATGTTCGGTTTCGTGTGGATTGATACTCTTGATGATTTTAGCATACCTTATGTTTTATGTCCATGTACTACAATCGAAACCATTTAAAACAACTGTAAGGATGTATATAAGATATAGCTTCGTTTTAATGTGGATTGGTACTCTTGTTGACTTTAACATACCTTATGTTTTTAAGTCCATGTCCTACAATCGAAACCATTTAAAACAACTGGAAGAATGTATATAAGATATAGCTTCGTTTTAGTGTGAATTGATACTCTTGTTGATTTTAACATACCTTACGTTTTTAAGTCATGTCATAAATCTAAACTATTTAAAACAACTGGAAGAATGTATATAAGATCTCTTTTCGTTTTCGTGTGGACTGATACTCTTGTTGATTTTAGCATACCTTATGTTTTCCAAAAGCAATCAACCCCATTTTTATTCTGCATTTTACTTCATCTTGGTCATTCTTACAATATTAAATGTTAATTTAGTCCCGATGAAGTTTCTTTATGTTTAGAAAATGATTCACAAATATTCCCCCCTCCCCTTAAAAAAACCAGGCGCCTACAGTAGCTGGCCAAGCAACAAGATTATTTAGTGCCTGCCATTTATTTGACCACGGAAATGTGTTATCCCACCATCTTTGTTTTAGTTTTCCTCGACTTTCTTTTCCAGGCAACATACCGTCAAGATACAATTTAGCGAGCCCTTAATGTCTCCAAATAGTTTCAAAGATTACCCATAAATTATATTAAAGCGGGTGGTGGTGGAGGTGGGTTTTACGGCAAATTGTTTACATTCTTATATTCATATTGTCTATCAGTTTGTGATCTGTGATGATGCGCGTCGTATAGTTTTAGAATATCTCAATTTGAGCCTAGAGTTTCTGAGTCCATGTCACCAAATTTAAAGCATGTAAAACAACTCGAAGAATGAATATAAGATTTATATATCTTCGTTTCGGCGAAGTTTGGTACTTTTATTGATTTCAGCATAACTTATAAGCAACCCATCTAATTTTTAATCGGTGTTTTATTTGTAATTTTTATTTTTGCTTATTTATTATCTCAGCAGCTATTAAACAAAAATCAGCTCCCCCCCAAGGAAAAAATGGAAGGTAAAAAATATAATACATCGATATCATGCAGAAAACTGACATAATGGAAATATTGAATTCGAAAAGCGTTTAATACTGTGAAAGAGGCACATTATACACAAGTAAAATTAACGTCTGCCAATATATTACAAATATATTTTGATCTCGTTTTTGAAGACGTCGATGGTCTTGGAATCAACTGCTGCAAAAAACGACAGAATATTTTTGTATTATCAGAAATGGTTGAATTTTTAATGGACGTCCTTTAGGGGATTTATATTAACTTTTAGTCAAATATTTCTCAAAACTCATGTCATCAATTGAATTTATTATTTAAAATACCCGTATTAAATCAACTCTAAGATGTTCAGCGTTAAACGAGAAAAGGCCAAGGGTTTTATGTCAATATTTCTCGGGGTAAAACATATTTTTAACTTTTGTTAAAGATTTTTTGCATTTTTTTCCAGCTGTTATATTTCACACTGAGCGTAAGGCAACCATACAATGGAAGTATGGCCCTAAAATAGGATGGGTTAGCGATAAATAAAACCTTACATTATGATGCGTATCTTGTTTTTGAATTGTTTCGATTTGAGTTTTTGAGCCCTTGTTACACAACCTAAATCTGAAACAACTAGAATATAGAATATATTTTCATTCTAGTGTAGATTTGTCAGCACACCTTATGTTTTTAAGTCTATGTCAGACATTGAAAACCATTTAAAACAACATGAAAAATGTATATAAGATATAACTTCTTTTTAGTGTGGATTGATACTCTTGTTGGTTTTAGCATACCTAAAGATTTTAAGTTTATGTCACAAACTAAATCATATAAAACAATTGGAAGAATGTATATAAGATATAGTTTCTTTTTAGTGTGGATTGGTACTCTTGTTGATTTCCGCATACCTTATGTTTTTAAGTCCATTTCACACAATCAAAACTATAAAACACCTGGAAGAATGTATGTAAGATATAGCTTATTTTTAATGTGGACTGGTAGTCTTGTTGATTTCAGCATACCTTATGTTTTAGATCTATGTCACACAATGAGGACCATTTAAAAACACCTGGAAGAATATAAGATATAGCGTCTTTTGTGTGGATTGGTACGCTTGTTGATTTTAACATACCTTATGCCTTCAGTCACTCGTCGCTGTGAAAAAGAATATTCTTGTATCTTCAGAATTGGTTGAATTTTTAATGGACGTCCTTTAGTGGGTTTATATTGGCTTTTAGTCAAATATTTCTCAAAACTCATATCATCAATTGAATTTACTATTTGAAATACCCGTATTAAATCAAGTTCAGTGTCAAACAAGAAAAGGTCAGGGGTTTTATGTCAATATTTCTCGGGGTAAAGCATATTTGTAACTTTTGGTAAAGAGTTTTTGCATTTTTTCC